CAGTTAATTAAAATTATTCAGTTTCAGACATCTTTTGTCATCTATTTGTGTGTGCGTGCATGTGTTTAGCTGTGTCTAGCTCCATACGATTTTATCCTATGTATATATTTCCGTAACCATCACAACAGTCAAGATACAGAACTGTTTCATACCCACAAAACAACTCCTTTTTGATTCCTCCTTGTATTATCACCTCACCACCAACACTACCTCTGTCTCCTGGCAACCACTATTTTTCCTTCCCATTGCTTTGCTATTTCAAGAATGTTACTTAAATAAAATTATACAATATTCAAGCTCTTGAGAGCTTTTTTTTTCACTAAGCATAATTCTCTTGAGGCCCATTCATGTTGCTGTATCAGTAGTCTATGCTTTTTATAGCATTCCATTCTTGTATGGTCCCACCAGATTTTAAGCATTCATCAACTAAAGGACATTTGGTTGCTTCCTGTACTTTTCCATTATGAAGAAAGCTGTTAGAATCATTCCCGTACAGGTTTTTGTGTTAACGTGAAGTTTCATTTCTCTGGGATAAATGTCCAAGAGTGCAATTCCTGAGTTACAAAACCTGCCAAACTATTTTCCAAAGTGACTTTATAATTTTTACATTCCCATCAGCAACGTATGAGAGATCCAATTTCTCTGCATCCACACTAGCATTTGGTATTATCACTTTTCTATTTTAACTGTTCTAATGAGTTTGTAGTGATATATTATTGTAGCTTTAATTTACATTTTCCTTAATGGCTGATGAGTTTGAATACCCTTCCATGTCTCCAGTGGCCCTGTGAAGAAAAGCACGTGGAAAGTAACATTTGGAAAATGTGTATGTCTGAAAATGTTTTAATCTAGATATCTTCAAAAGTTTGATGGGCTGTCTTGGCTATAAATTATAGATTAGAACAGCTTTTTCTTCTGAATGTTTAAGGCTTCGCTGTCTCCTCAATTCTACTATTGCTGTTTGAAAAGTCCAAAGCCATTCTGGTTTCTAGTCCTTTAGGTGTGACTCAATTTTTTCCCCTCTTGGAATCTTAAAGGATGTTTTTGTTTGTACCAACTATACTGAAATTTATTCATGTGGGTCTATTTTCATCAATTCTTCCGAGAATTTAATTGCAAAATTTTAAATGATTTTCTCCTGTTTTTTCTCTTTTCTCTTTCTGTAACTGCTATTGAATGTCCTGAATTAGCCAGTTTATTGTTATTATTACTATTGTATTTTCTCTCTTTTACATTACCTTGCTCTTTTTTCTCCTACATTCTGGTTAATTTTTTCTACTACATCCCAATACTTTTACTGATATTTTCTTTTTGGCTATCAATTTTGTTTTCTTTCTTTTTTTTTCTTTTTTAAGGTTTATTATTATTTTTTTTTGAGAGAGAGAGAGAGAGAGAAAGAGAGCGCATGAGAAAGCACATGCTAGCAGAGGAGGAGCAGAGAGAAAGAGGGTGAGAGAGAATCCCAAGAAGGCTCCACATTGTCAGTGCAGAGCCCAACATGGGGCTCAATCCCATGAACCCGTAAGGTCATGACCTGAGCCAAAACCGAGAATCGGTCACTTAACCGACTAAGCCACCCAGGCGTCCTTCATTTTCATTTTCAAGAGATCTATTTGTTCTCTATTTCCATTGTGTAGTGTCTCTTCCCATTTCATGGATGCAATATTTCTTCCTACATTTCTGAGTATATTAATGGATTTTTTTTGTCAAGTTTTCTTCTCTTACATAGTCTCTGACCTTTTTTTCTTTCAGTTTCTGTATTTCACATTTCCTCATATCTCTAGTAATTTTTCGTTGTCTGCTCACATGATAGAGGGAAATATGAGAAAAGTTTATCTTTGAAAGGTTGGAACACACAGACCGTATTCGCCATCTGTAAGCTTCTCTGTTAGATATACTTACTGTATCACTGGTTTCAGAAACCCTACATTTCAGGGGCACCTGGGTGGCTCAGTTGTTGAGCGTCTGACTCTTGTTTTAGGCTCAGGTCATGATCCCAGGGTCTTGGGATGGAGCCCCGCATCCGGCTCCATGCTGAGCGTGAAGCCTGCTTGGGACACTCTCACACTCTCTCTCATGCTCTCTCTCTCTCTCCCCCTTCCTCCCTCCCTCCCTCTGCCACTCTTTCCTGCTTGCATTCTCTCTCTAAAATAAATAAAAAATAAAATAAAGTAAAAGGAAAGAAACCCTACATTTCAGTATCCTTCTTACTTTCTGATTAAAGGCTTTATTTTTAGTTTCTGATATATTGTATGTTTTTACTTATATGATGTTCTGGGAAATGATTTTGTTTGCCCCTTAGTCCCTGGTTAAAATAATCCCCTTCCCTCATATCCAATTACCCCTTCCGAGATATACCTGGGAGGGGCACTGGGTTTCATCAATCATTCATGGGATAAGATCTCTGTAATTGAAAGAGCAAGAGAAAACCAGAGGATCTGCAAACACCTAAGCAGGTGACATCTGGTCTCAATAGTTAGCTGCTACTGCCTAGAGTATGAATATGCATCTTTAAAAAGGGGAAGATTTTGCACCAGAGAGAAAGACAAGAAATTTAAAGGCAAAGTTGAGCTTCAGCTACAGGAAGAGAGGGATAACAGAAAGCACAGAGGGCCTTTCATGCAACTTTCTAGCATGGGAATTAGGGAAGCTGAGGGAAGAAGAGACTTGACCCCAGTAACTGTGAATCAGAGAAGGTCGGTCACTTGGATCATTGCAATTTTCCTGGAAAAGCCAGCAGTAAGAGGCTTCAAATGAAGCTTGATTTGGGAACACTGAGGAATACAGGGGTATTATACATTATTCCATAAGCCACTTTAGAATGAGAGCATTTTTCATGGAAATTGTAGGTTTTAGCATATTGGAAAATGAAAAGAAATGGAAAGATATAGGAAGAAAGAAAAGCAGTGCACAAATTTATCTCACTCATGTATCGAAGGGCCTAGATGCTTTATTATCAGGAGGGCTACAGCATTCCATGGCCACCCTGAAATGTAGAAATGAGGTAAAATAACTTCTGACATTTCTAAAGCTCCTATAGCTAAGATCACAAAAATCTGTTGAACACTTATCTGATAAAGAGCCAGCCAAAATAAACTTTGGAAATACTGCAAACACCAAGTAAAACAAAGCATTTAGCCACCATGATTAAAACAGCAATTATAATAAAAATAATGCTAACTGCTGCTATTTTTATAATTATAATTTGTTTAGCATCCACTACCTGCCAGATATTTTATAATTCACTCACAAAAGCCCTTCAAGGTAACAATTTTTATTCTCATTTTTAGATAAAAGATGCAATATTTGAATACATTTTATGACTATTACAACATTGTCCCAGTCATCATGCTGAGAGAGAGAGAGAGAGAGAGAGAGAAAGAGAGACTGAAAAAGGTTTATAGGAAAGCTACAACATGAGTAATGGGGATGAAATGGTATATTACAAAGTATACTGGAATAGAGTTTGCTTAACTAAGAGAACACTAACCCAATATCAAAGGATTTTCATAAAGGAAGATCACCATTAGGATTCCATGTTCTGAGAAACTGAATGCAAGAAAGTAAATTCAGAAAAAACTGTAAGGGGATTGGTACTTTAGTATGTTCTAACTGGAAAGTGGCTAGAGGCTGTCACATCAGGATTTTCAATTTAGGGAGACCTGATCTTACTGGGAAACACCAGGGGCACCTGGGTGGCTCAGTCAGTTAAGCATCTGACTCTTGATTTCAGCTCAGGTCATGATCTCACAGTCTGTGAGTTAGAGAGCCCTGCATCAGGCTGTGCACTGACAGTGCAGAGCCTGCTTAGGATTCTCTCTCTCTCTCCCTCTCTCTCCCTCTCTCTCTCTCTCTCTCTCTCTCTCTCTCTCTCTGCCCCTCCCCTGTTCATGTTCTCCCCCACCTCTCAAAATAAATAAATAAACTGTAAAAAAAAAAAAAGAAAGAAAGAAAGGAAAGAAGAAAGGAAGAAAGAAAGAAAGAAAGAAAGAAAGAAAGAAAGAAAGAAAAAGAAAGAAAGAAAGAAAAAGAAAAAGTAAAAAAAGGAAACACCAGAGGATGACAAAGGAAAGTATATAAATGAATACAAATTTTTCTCCTCCCTTCATGCAGGTCCTTGCATTATGACAGTACAGATCTTCCCATGAAGAGATGGAGTCTGTTTTCTTATCCTTAAATATAGGCCATCTCTGCAGTTTGCTTAGGTTAATGAGAGATTAGCACACATGATTCTGCAAAAGTTTAGAAAACATTGTGAGTTAGAGAAGAACCAAGAGTCTGTCAACTGCCAGCTATGTGACTGAGGTCACACTAAATCATCTAGCTTTGGCCACCCCACCAATTGACCACAGATGCAGAGAAAACCTGGCTGGTAAGAGCTGAGCTTGACCAGACCAGTAGGAACACCCACACGACCCATGGAATTGTAAGCAAAATCAAATGGTGATTGTTCCACACCATTCAGTGTTGAAGGGGTTTGTTCACAGATAAAGCTAATAAAATCCGGTGGCAAAAACAAAGTGACAACCTAAACAGCCACTATATACTTCAAGAGGTGGATTACTGATTAATTCTGAGGGCCTGAGAGCTCTTGTCCTCTACCTCCTGAAGACAGAGAACTAGAATGAATGTTCCTAATACTCATTTATTTGGGAAGGAAAATGTCCTCACAGATCATCTAGCCCAGCCTGATCAATGTGAATATATGGAATCTGAAACTAAGAGAGAGCACATGACTTCTCCAAGGTCACGGTGAGGTTCTGACTGCACTAGAACTACTGGGCAGGTCCTCTGACCTCCAGTCCTGGAAATTTTACTCACTAACCTCGAGATCTCGGCCAGTCCTGATATTCTATGACTCTATGACGCTGTGGTTCTATAATTCCAAGACAAAGCACAACAATGCCAGCGCTCCAGACAGCCTTGGAACAGGAGAAGAACATGGTCTAGACTGAAGTAACAAGAACATTTTTTCATTTTAAAATATCAACTACACCATCATGGATTCAAACTCTGCACACAATCCTGTGTTTCTTGTATTTCCTCCGGAGATCACTGTTTCCAAGTTTCAGTCACCAGAGTTTATAGCCACAACCTATGAATCCAGCGGCCCTTTTCCAAAATCACTTACCACAAAAATGAAAACCTTAGGGGTAAGTAAGATCTGCCCTAATGTATACTCTACTGAGGGTGTGTTAGGGACTGAATGTTTGTGTTTCCCAAAATTCATAGTTGAAACCATAATTCCAATGTAATGGTGTTTGGAGGTGGGATCTTTTTAATTAGTTCATGAGGGTAAACTCTCATGAGTGGGATTAATGCCTTTATAAGAAGAGGTCAGGGAGGTAAGTAGCTCTCTTTCCACCATGAGAAGTTACAAAAGAGAAGTTTCCAGCCTGTAACCCAGAGGGGGTCTACATCAGAACCCAACCTTGTGGCACCCTGCTATCAAACTTTCAGCCTCCAGAATCATGAGAAATAGATTTCTGTTGTTTATAAGCCATCCAGTCTATGAACCATGGGCTTAATCAGCCACCTCATCAGGGTATTATAGATTCTATTACTTTGTTCAGAAGCCTAAACTAAGATGGGGGTTGTGGAGGAGAAGAAAGAGAAAAAAATATTTGGTGGTGCAATGTTTCAAGGTAGGAGCTAATTCCAACTTTTATTTCCACTCAAATCAGAAGTGTCACATTTCTAAACCAACTATGTACAAATTTCTATGGATAGGAAAAGAATCCTCTGGGCTTTTGAAGGTCACAATTAAAGTAAAAATCTCCAAAATGACCAACTAGGAGTTTTTTCCTAGTCACGTTCAGAGAAAAGGAAGAGAAAATCAAGTAGAAGTCAATAGATCAGGTTCTATATCCTGGGTTACTGAGTTGTACGGTTTTATATTTTCCCAATCAGAACTCAGAATTCATTTTGATAACATGATATGGTATTTTTATATGCGGGGCTTTTGCAGAAAATCCCCTTAATACTGTAAATGTTCATCTCTCCACCCACCTATCCATTTCTTGAATATTAATTATTTTTTATTTACCAATCCTCCTTTCAGACAATGTGATTCAGTATGTTTGAGGCTGTGACAGGGCCTATATCTCATAACATATTTGTCTTTTCAATCCCAAGCCTTCAAGGATGGAAAATAGGAAAAATTTTTTTTTTTTTTT